CATGACATGGTGGGTGCAGGTTCTGCTTCATGACATGGTGGGTGCAGGTTCTGCTTCAACATTTGGAACGGCCTCCTTCTTCACCGCTCTTCTGTGTCTCCAGTAAGTGACTAACATCTGGAAGAAGGAGCAGCTGGAGAAACACCAGGAGCTGAAAGAAGTTGTGGAGAGTGAAAGAGTCAGCAGTTCCAGAGGTCATTGGAGGACTCGGTGCTGCGACCCAAACTAGAAGAGCGGCTCCAACAGGAACAACCTCGGAGATCTCTGTCCAGCTACTGAACAGAACCCTCAGAACCCGGGCCCTGTAGAGGACCTGAGGTTGAAGTGGAACCGTCCAGCAGGGCGAGCTGGGAGTTTCTTTTTCACTTTTTGTCCCAAAGGTCCTTTCAGGAGTTCCTCGTGCAGCACGTCATGATGATTTGAGAGCAGGCTGTATAAATAAAGGTTGAATGAATGAATGGATTTGGAAACACACTCATGTGTGAGGCGTGTCGGGGCTCAGGGTCATGTGACTCTCATGCAGCAGGTAAAAATAGCCTCTGGACCACACAGATCTGGATCACAGCTGCGTGGGTAAACAAGCTGGACGTGGACAGACGGCAGGAAGTCTCAGGTAGGACGCCATGGTTTTGACTGAAAACAGGTTCAACTGACGACTGTTAGAAGCGTCACTGCATGTGAGCGGCTAAAAACAGACACGGGGTTACGAGTTATGATCCTGGATCAGTTTAAATGACTGAGAACAGAGCCTTGGTTTGGTCTAACAGGTTGAACTCACCTGGTTGAAGCTGCATCACGACCCGGCAGACACAAAACCTGATCCATTCCTGCACATTTCACTGAAACTCGCCCAGTGCTTCATGAGATATTTTGCTAACAGACACACGAACAGTACGCTGAGGAAGTCAGCTGTTTTTCTTGTGAAGTAAACGTCGTTTTCCAGCTGCTTTTATTACAATTAATAAAAATGCCCATTATTCTTTTTAATATTCAAGTTTTAGAAATAAATATCAAAATCATAATTTTTTTTTACAAGTTTCAGAACTTTTTAAAAGTTTCTGGTGGAAAATTTTTAGAACATTTGAGAAGATTCTTCCAATTTAAGTAAATCTGATCAAATATTTGAAACTATTTGAAGATCTGGAGCGTTCAAGGACTCGTCGTCAAACGGACGTTTAAGAATCGTTCACGCTGCTGTGATCCAGTTTTCTTCTGTGATCCAGTTTTCTGCTGTGATCCAGTTTTCTGCTGTGATCCAGTTTTCTTCTGTGATCCAGTTTTCTGCTGTGATCCAGTTTTCTGCTGTGATCCAGATTTCTTCTGTGATCCAGTTTTCTTCTGTGATCCAGTTTTCTTCTGTGATCCAGTTTTCTGCTGTGATCCAGTTTTCTGCTGTGATCCAGTTTTCTGCTGTGATCCAGATTTCTTCTGTGATCCAGTTTTCTGCTGTGATCCAGATTTCTTCTGTGATCCAGTTTTCTTCTGTGATCCAGTTTTCTGCTGTGATCCAGTTTTCTTCTGTGATCCAGTTTTCTTCTGTGATCCAGTTTTCTGCTGTGATCCAGTTTTCTGCTGTGATCCAGTTTTCTTCTGTGATCCAGTTTTCTGCTGTGATCCAGTTTTCTTCTGTGATCCAGTTTTCTGCTGTGATCCAGTTTTCTGCTGTGATCCAG